GAATTTTCAAGACTGTAACTCTTTACAGGAATAGAAAGCCGTGTCTTTTTCCCCCTTGGAGCTGCTGGTGGTTTTGCACTACTGACCTTAACATGTAACCACTACACCACCAGGGCTCATGTAACCGCAGCTAGAAGAGCCATAAATGATTCACAGAGCCACACCACCCCTCCTGGGGCTTCTGAGATGGCTCCTCATACCCAGCAAGGTGACAAGCAGTCCCAGCTGAGGCCTGTAATCCGATCAGTATCTTCCCCCACCTTCTTCTTTAGACCCATCGAGAAGGTCATGTGATGAGAAGAGCCATCAATGACTCTGCACTGAACAGGCCATGCAAATGTCCTGTTTCCAATCATACGCTCCGGTCCCTACCCCCACTCATTTTTTTGGTCTCATTTAAGACTGTTGCTGCTGACCTTGCGGTTTGGACCCACGAGTTTATTTTGACTTATGGCGACCCAGTGTGTGCAAGTACAACAGTTCCATGGGGGTTTTGAGGCTGTGACATTTGGGAGGTAGATTGCCAGGCCTTATTTCCGTGGCACCTCTGGATGGTGAACTAATCCCAGCTGTCCCCTCTCCACCGTCTGCTTCTCAGCTGTGTGCCCCTGTGCCTAACCTATCCCTTGTTACTTTGAACAATAAATAATGGGGAGAAGGGCCCCAGATATCAAGAAACAGATGACATCAGCATGGCCTCTGGTCAGGGGCAAGCTACAGCCTTTGCACATGGTCAAAAGCAAGTCCCTGCATGGTCCCAACTGTTAAATGCTCAACTACTAACTACAAGGGTGATAGTTCAACTCTGTCCAGAGGTGCCTCAGTCAAGAAAGGCCTGGCAGAAACCCTTCTGGATCATGATGGTCTGATCCACAAACGATCAAGGAGCTGGCATGTAACTGGACAATGTTTCATTCCATCGGGAGACTAGATGGCAGCTGACAGCAACAAGAAGATGGAAATGACTCTTGAGTCTAGGCCGAGCCATGGCCAGCTTCTGAACCTTGGGGCCGAGCCAGGGTTCAAGGCAGGACTTGCTGTCCTCCTGATCAAAGGGCTCCCTGACCGGTAAGAAAGGCACCCTCCACCCCCGCCCTTCTCAGTTCACTGTCTTGTTCATGCTGCTTCCTATAATCTCTTTTCACTCTAAGTTTGACAAGCACAGTGACAGGTCCAAGTGTGAAAGAGATGACACTTTGGCAACGAGCCCCCTTGTCCCCCCACCCCCAAGGCCCCTCTTTGCTAAGCTTTTGGCTCGTCCTCCTGCTTACATAGCAATGACACCGTGGGGTTGTGGCCGGAGCAAGGTGCTGGAGTTGGAGACTGATTCAAGCCCCTCTCCTCCCACCACTGGAGCTGTGAGGCTTTGGCTAGCCATGGCACATTGGGGATCTCCCCTTACTCTCTCCCTTGCAAAGGCTTAATTTGACACACAGGGCCGTTGCAGGGTGTGGATGCAGTGATTTTTAAAGCTTATAGATATTTCAAACAAAAACCACCCATTGCCAGTGGGTTCATTTCTGACTCATAGTAACCTTACAGGACAGAGTGAAACAGCACCATCGGGTTTCCAGGGCTGGCACCTATCAGGAAGCCAACTGCCCCATCTTTCTCCTAGGGAGTGGCTGCTGGATTCACACTGCTGAACCCAGGTGGTGGTTACACTGCACGACCGGTTACGCTGCTATGAATATATGAACACATGAATATATAGTACTTGAGAAAAACGATGCCTTCTGCTTATGCATTTGCTCACCCGACCCGCCCCCTCTTCCCCCCGTGGAGAAATGCCAGCCTTCCCATCTAAGAGGTCCGTTTTTCTCTACCCCGTCCCACCCCCACCTAAGTGGGAGACCCGCACATTCTACTCCTCTCTCAGCCTCTTGCCTCTGAGCACTTTTTACTGACATGGGCCCCTCCCACCGATGTACTCCCTCACTGGGGGACAGTTGGGCACTTCTGTTCTTTACTGTGAACTCTTCTGTCCTCTTAGTTGTCCTCGGTGATCGGTGAGAAAACGGCCCCCAGCGAGAGTCACGCCCTAACCCTAACCCAATGTGCCGCTGGAGGTTTTTTTTAAAAAACATTTTATTAGGGGCTCATACAACTGTTATCGCAATCCATACACACATCAATTGTGTAAAGCGCATTTGTACATCATTCTCAAAACATTTTCTCTCCACTTAAACCCCCAGCATTAGGTCCTCATTTTTCCCCTCCCTCCCCGCTCCCCCTCCCTCATGAGCCCTTGATAGTTTATAAATGGGTATTTTGTCATATCTTGCCCTGTCTGACGTCTCCCTTCACCCACTTTTCGGTTGTCTGTCCCCCAGGGAGGAGGTCACATATAGTTCCTTGTAATCGGTTCCCTCTTTCCTACCCACTCTCCCTTTTCCCTCCCTGTTTTGCCACTGGCACCACTGGTCCTGTAAGGCTCATCCGCCCTGGATTCCCTGTATTTCCAGTTCCTATATGTACCAGTGTACATCCTCGGGTCTAGCCAGACTTGCAAGGTAGAATTCGTGTCATGATAGTGGGAGCGGGGAGGAAACATTTAGGAACTAGAGGAAAGTTGTATTTCTCATCATTGTTACATCGCACCCTGACTGGCTTGTCTCCTCCCCGAGACCCCTCTGCAAGGGGATCTCCAGTGGCCTACTAATGGGCTTTGGATCTCCACTCCGCACTCCCCCCATCATTCACTATGGTAAGATTTTTTGTTCTGATGATGCCTTACACCTGATCCCTTCGACACCTCGTGGTTGCATAGGCTGGTGTGCTTCTTCCATGTGGGCTTTGTTGCTTCTGATCTTGATGGATGCTTGATTACCTTCAAGCCTTTAAGACCCCAGATGCTATACTTTTTGATAGCCGGGCACCATCCTCAGACAGTAAGTCCACAGCGACCCAGAGCACCAGCAGGAGGGCAGCCGCCCCCTCCTGCCTGTTAGCCAGTGCTGCTGCCACAGAAAGACCACAAGTGGGCGCTCTTGTCTTTTTATTTCTCTCAATCTTTAATGTTTTCAAGTAGTGACCTGGGTTCACCTTAAAATGCCGACTCCTTGCCCCCAGGCCCAGAGATTCTGATTCAGGGGGGCCGTGTTGGATGGAGGCCAGGAAGCTGCATTTTCCACGGGCAAGTCAACTGCTCCTGATGAAGCTGATGTGGAAGAGACTCACATCCAGTTCTCTCCTTCTGAGCATAGGGCCCGATGACCCTTCGGGGTCCCCTTGTCCTTAGAAGGGGCTATGTGACTAGCTCTGACCAATGGGTTGAAGGTCAAAATGGCATCTGTCACCTCCAGGCCTTCTCTACTCTCTCGCTCCCCTTCTTCCTACGCTACTGAGGGACTCACGAAGAGTCCTAGCCGATCTACGTGACAGTGCACAGAGATCTGAATGCAATCAGAGATTGAATGAAGAAGCATGCTCTTTAGAAGTAGTTGGGACATGTCCTGATGTCCTTCTCCAGGTTTAGGTCCCTCCTGATGACATGTCCAAACTACTTGCAAATAACATGCTTCTTCCAACTCAGATCCATTCATTCTTCTGGCAGTCCCGGGGATAGTCAATCGTGTTCACCAGTGAGTTAGGGGGTTGAACACCTCTCTCTGACTGCATGCAGATCTCTGCTCAGTGGTACTTCCTTCCCCAGAGAAGTCTCTCTGGCCTTCTTATGTCAAACAGTCCAATTCCTCTACCCTATTCTCCTCTAACCCCTTCTTCTGCTCAATTTTGCTTCATACACGTATCACTGATATGGTGTTAGTGTGATATTGATGTACTTGTTTAATACCTATTTCTGTGCTTGTTCCTTGCTGTATCGCCAATACCAAGTACAGAGCCTGACACATAAAATAGGTGTGTAAGAAGTGGTTGTTGAATGATTGCACAAAGCTACAGTGCTCCTATACCCCCCAACACCTCTCCATAGCAGATGGCCCCCTAAATTCATATATCCAGCCTTATGTTCCCAGCCTGCTATTTCCAGCTTCCTGGGGGATATCTTGGGATGTCCACCAGCCCCAGTAAGTCGCATGTCCCAAACCATCCAGGCCAGCTTCTTTTCATGACATGGACAGTTGACCCCCCGGTCCTGTTCATTCCCTTCGACCTCCACCTTCAACCAGCAGCAACATCTATGAAGTCCTATTTGGCCATGTGTCTCACTTCCATCTCTGCCTCTTAATCTCTCGATCAACCAAGTGCAGACTGACTCGGTACACCAGACACAAGCCCACTGGACACAACAGTCCTCCGCCCTGGAGTGATAGAGCTGCGAGTGGCTTCTGTTCTTCTCTGCATGTGTTTGTATCGTGAGCTGTTCACTCTTGAGAGTGAGGCCCCATTGTTTTTAGTTCCCCTCCAATTCATTCTGACCCCACGGGCCGAGAGGTGAACTTTCTTCTGTGGCATCTCTGGGTGGATCTGCACCATCAACCTTTCAGCTAGCAGCCTGTCGGTGCCACCTGGCAGAACTTGGCAAGCGTTAAGTGGTCTCTTCAAAGGAAGTTGGTGGCAGAACCATATCAAACCGGCTACCATCCAGTGGATTCTGATTAAAGCACAGGGTAGAACTTGCCCTGGACTTTCCAAGGCTGTGAAGCAGCATGGAGAGAAACCAGAGATCGGCTTTCTTGGGGCCCTGACCATGCTGTTGAACTTCCTCCTTTGGCGTCTTGGGAGAGGAGTGCAGGCTTGCAGCCTGGGCAGGACCGGACCCCAGCGGGCTCGCTCAGCTCCAGCTCTCTGCTAGTAGGCCCCGCAGCGTCTCAGGAGGGGAGCCCTGCCAAAGCTTGGCCAGGGTCCCTGGAGGGAGGGCTCTACCTTCCCAAGGGCGGGGGCCCAGGTCCCGCCTCCTCCCCGCCCAGGTCCCGAGATCCAATGGGGGGCGGTGGGCCTGACCGGGGGCGTGGCCCGCCCGAGAAGCCGTCCCCGGTTGGCCCGCGGCCGGGCGCTGCGCGTGACGTCGCCTCCGTCGCGCTGAGATTTAGGCGTCGGTTTCGCTCCGGGCGGTTGAAGGAGACTCGGGGACACCGGGGCTGCAGTCCTCTTGGGTCCCCGTTCTGCCGCTGCCCGCGCTTCATGAGGAAGATGCTCGCCGCCGTCTCCCGGGTGCTGTTGGGCGCCGCCCAGAAGCCGGTGAGGTGGCCGCCGTGGGTGGCGGGGTGGGGCGCCCCCTCCGGCGGGACCGGCGACTCCGGGCACCCGCATGGGCGAGCTGGGCCTCCGGCCTGCGGCGTGCGTCCAGCGCGGGCCCGGGACGGGGGGCGGGCGAGGCCAGCCGCGGGGCCTGTGTTGTGTCCACGGCCGGCCTGCCGCTGCTGGCCGGGGACCCGCAGTCCCGGAGCGTCCCTCTGCACCGTCGGAGCGGCCGCCAGGGAGGGGGACCCTGTCCCCGGCGACAGGGACGTTCCTTACTGTCCCGGTGGCAGGGAGCCTTGGGCTGGGAAAGCCCGCGTCCCTTGATGAGCGATCCCAAGGCGGCCCTGGGTTTCCTCGCAGCTATCAGGTGGATCCCCCGCCGCTTGACTGCACTAACTTCACTCACCTGGGCCGCAGTGCGGGCGTGGAGCCCGGAGACACCGAGGTTGGTCTCACCCCCCCGCGGCACGCTCTCAGCACTAGCCCGGTGACCTTGGGTCGGTCTTCAACGCCCCTGCCCCCGTCTCTAGAGCAGAGAGGAAGTGAGTGTCTGCCTCGCAGGGGTGTTTGACACATGCCAAAACCAAAGCCCCAAAGCCACTGTCATCGAGCCATCCAAGTCTTAGCGCCCCTGTATAGAGTTTCTGTGGCAGTAAATCTTTACCACAAGCAGACAGCCTCAACTTTCTCCCGCGCAGCAGCAGCTGGTGGCATTGAACCCTGGGCATGTATGGTAATGCAACCCTCCCGTTTAACCCACCGCGCTGCCTGGGCTCCTTGGCCGGCCCCAGAATAGGTGCCATATGTGTTAAATATCGTCGTCATTTATTTGTGTCGGAATCAAGCGTTTGAGATGGATTTGTATTCCAATCATTGTTTTTTTTAATTTGTGTATCATCACCCACGTATATATTTGCTTGGTTTTGTTGGTTTTTAATTCCTCATACTCCTCTCTTCCTGTTCCCCAGTTACTACTGATCTTTTATATTGGTAAAGCAAAACAATGACAGTGACACAAAAACCTGTCATAGGGTGCATTCCAACTCATAAGCCACCCTATAGGCCAGAGTAGAACTATCCCTTTGGGTCTCAGAGTCTGCAAATCTTTATGGGAGCAGAATGCTCCATTTGTCTCCCATGAGCGTCTGGTAGTTTTAAACTGCTGACCTTGAGGATAGCAGACCACCCTGTCACCTACTGCATCACCAGGGCACCTTTTTGTGTAGGCAGATGTACTTGTTTTAGATAATTCCTATCAAACCAAGCGAAACCCACAGTCACTGAGTCCTTTCTAACTGAAAGTGACCCCGTATTGGGGTTTGGGGCTGTAAATCTTAATGGGAATAGACAGCCTCATCGTTCTCCCACAGAGCTACTGATGGGTTTGAATTGCTGGCCTTGCTGTAAGCAGCCCAATGCCTAGCCCACAGCACCACCAAGGCTCCTCAATTCATATCCGTGGGATCATACAATTGTTTATTGACATTCCAGTTTTGATGTGCAGTTGACACTTGAATATGGTGGGAATTAGGACCCCTCCCCACCCGCCCCCACCCGCCATCAACTTTTTACTCCCCCCAGAGCTTACTGTTGGCTGGAAGCCTTGCAAGTAACATTTTATGTGTCACATGTAGTAATATACTTCATCCACATATCAAGCTACACTTTTTAAATTGAAATGAAAAGGTATTTCAAAACTTTTTTTCAGGCCTGTTGTAGCTGCAGGGCAGGCAGCAGGAATTGATTGCCCTTTCATTTTCGTACAGTGATCTTTGAGGCTGGGTTCATTTATCTCCAGGCCACAGCCCTCAGTTTGGGGTACATAGCAGCAAGCAGTTCCACTTTGTCTCGTTGCTCAGCTTCCTGGGAGCACGGCCAGCATCATTAGTGACACTAGAGGTGGTGTTACTCAAGACGTGCTGTGTTGTGCTTGCTGTGATGGAAAATACCCAAGAACTGGGGAGGGGACTGCGTTTTGCTGTGATGTGAAATGTCCTGCCCGGAGAGAGAACTGTTTCAGTGGAGATGATTTGTGCCACATGGCATTAAACACCACCACCTGCATAGAAGTGGACCTGTGCAGTGCAAGCCCGCATTGTTCCAGGGTCAGTTGGACATTTGTGGGGAGAACCTGTTTGGCTCTGGGGAAGTTAGACTAGCTCAAGCTCCTGAGAAACTACGGTTCTCCCCTTCCCTGCTTCCCGTCCCCAGAGCTTTCGGGGCAGTTGCTGGGGGAGCAGTCATGATGAAGGCGGAGGGAACGTCCTGGCCTTTATTGACTTTCCAGTTGGGGTATGCATTTATGGAGCATCTGGGCGGGAGGGAAGGGGATGCTCTTCAGAGGGTTTAGACGGGGCCAGGCTCCTGAGAAAGGTCCCTTTCCCACTCACTCACCCTTGAGTCTTTTTTGGCAGAGTATTACAGAGCCACCCTCCCCACTACACACAATTTCCCCAAGGTATCCTTCACTGAACACACACCTCCCACCCCAGCTCGAGCTCAAAAGAGCAAGCAGGGATGTTTGATGTTTGGGAGGGTGGGGTTTAGGGTTAGCATTATTTCTGGCCCTGGTTTTTCCCATTTCCCTCACTGGCTTTGTGACCTCTAAGCACACTGAGGTAGTGCTACTGAATGTGATTGGAGCCAAGTTGCGATTCGTCATTCTGGATCTAGAAACTCCCTCGGGACTTGAATAGGGCTCTAGGGCTCTGGAGTATGGGCAGTGTCAAATGGTAGGAAATAGACCCCTCTAGGTATCGGTCATTGCTTCCATGTGCTGCCTCCACCCAAAATACCACGAATATTCTGGCTTGGATGGCTGTCAAGAACAGAACTGTATTTTCTCACAGTTCAAAGGGTCTCAACCATTTGTATTCCTTCTGTGGGTGCCTCTTAGTTTCTGGGGTCTGCCAGTAAACCTTGGTGGTCCTCGTGTGGTGTTTGTCTCCACCACCCCCACACAGACTCACACTGTGTCCATTCTCATTTTTAAGACATCTCTCCAAAGTAATTAAGGTCCTCCCAACTTGGGAATGGCTCATTAATATGATATAAACCTCTCATCCGAAACCAGGCCCCTGCCATAGGTGTTAGAACTTCCAGCCAAAGTTTAGTCTGTAACAACTCTATTGACTAGGATGTAGGAGCTTTAAACAGTTTGTGGGAACTGCCACTTTTTTATGTTATTTCTTTCCACAGTGACCATTAATCACAACACTAATCCGTGCACTATATATTTTTAACCAATTTTAAATTGTAAGGTAAAGGATTTACATTTCAGACTATCAGTAATGTATTCAACAGTTTGGACTACTTCACCCCCCCCCAGTATTTAACCTCTGACTTCTCCTCTTCCTCTTGCAGATGACTATCTTTCCCTTCACCCAGGTTGTAATTCCATTTCCCATGCACCTTTTTTTAACCTGTAATTGTGAATTAGATGGGGGTTGACCATGTTTGCACCCAGCAACTGACTCCTCCCAGTGGTTCTCCTGTCCCCTTCACCCAAATTAACACCTGCAGCCTCTAGCCGAATGAATACTCTCTGTCCTATCCGATTACTCCTCACCCCCGACCATCAAAATCTGTTACTCCTCAACCCCAATCATCAAAATCTGTGTCTTTGGGTATGAAAATCATTTTTTGATTTATTTATTTACTAACCGTTGTCTCATACAATATTTGCCCTGTTGTGATTGACCAACTCCACTCAGAGTAACGTCCTCCAAATCCATCCAGGCCTTGGGGTGTTTCACAGGTGCGTCAGCATTCTTGAGCAGTGGCTAGTATTCCATTGTGTGTGTGCACCCAAGTCTGAGCATCTATCCTTCCGCCGATGGGTGTTAGGCTATTTACATCTTCTAGCCGGCGTGAATAGTGCCGTGGCAAACATGGAGGAGTGTGTATCTGTTTATTTCTGCCTACTTTTTGAAGCCCCTTTAACTTAAAGCACAATGATTTATGTAGTTAACATTGAAGTTGTGACTGAGGGCACCGTCCAGTTCACAGCCTAACTTTGAAAGGAAAGCCCTTAGATTCTGCCTTTGCCCTCCTAATGTGTGCCAGGTGCTGGGGTAGGTACTCACAAACTTTCAATGTGGAAAACCTGTTTCCATTATAATCCGTTCAAACCTGGTGTTGGGAGGGTCCAAGGAGACAACCTTGAAGGTCCTTAGTTACCCTCTGTTAGCTAAGAAGGAAGGGGGAAGAAGTTTCACATGAGTGGAAAGGAAAAAATTCAAAGGCACAACTTCATTCGAAAAAGCTGAATTAGGACTTGAAGTTAACCAAAAATGTGCACATTCAAACTTTTCTCTCAGTGCCTGCACCTCAAAGGCTGGCTGTAGGGCTGCCCTACCAGGAGCTGGAGCTCAGCAGCATCCCCACTGCTGTAGCATGATACACTTCGTGCAGCTCTGGAGGGCAGGTTTCCGATTCCCAAGGTTAATTTGTCCAGTGTTCTTTTTCCCCAGAGTAGCATGAAAGTTGCATTCCACGGAGGGACCCCATTTAGAACATGCCCAGGTGCCTTCCCATTTCTGTCCTGAAGTCTTCAGTGGATTCGTTAACCAATGAGGAACCACTTAAAAAGGTGGCGAGAACCAGTGGTTCATCTTTTTTTAAGGTGTGGTGTAAGTATACTATGTGTTAGAAAACCTCACCTCTAGGCGGTGAGTGGAGCAGGATGAGAGACCAGGAGGACATCATCTACAAGATTAGGTCGAATGAAGGTGTTCCCAAAAGTTTGAGGGGAAAACGGAATTAAAAGCTATTGGAATTTTCCCACAAACTTTTGAAGTCCTCTTGTGAAAGGGAGGGACCAGAGAAGGCGGAGCCTCCCATACCACCAGGAAAGCAGAGCTGGGAGCAGAGGCCATCCTTGGACCCAGGCTCCCTGCTCCGAGCACTTGCCAGCCCCAGGAAGGTGGTCACATGGACCCACAGGTGGTGGCAGGAGACGCGGACCTTTGCCTGCAGCTGGGCTCCTCGATTTAGACTTTGAAAGAATTTCGAGCCACTGCTATTCTCAAAATCGAGCGTTTGATTTTAATTTTTGTGTGAAATGAAAAGGCAATCTTTTGTAGTAATTGAAAAAACTCAAAGGGAGAAGTACCAGCAGTTACTGGTCCCCTTTTAATGTATTTTAGGGGCCCTTGCAAGCATCCCAGATAAACCCAGCCCAGGGTTTAGGAGGGAGGTAAACCAATTTCTGCTGTACGTACGGTCGCTATGGGTCAGAACTGACTGGATGGTACCTAATAGCAACAAAGCAAATTCTGTGATTACTCCATTTTAATGCCTTTGTCACTCAGCATGCATGGTTTTTTTCTTCTCTAATTGATGCTCTTGTGATTGCGTTAACAAGAAATATTATCTTTCTCAATGTAATTACATGGGTTCTTTTCATCCTGAATATATTTGGTCCTTGTATTCTTGGTATTCTGTTTAAACTTTGATATTGTGCTGGAGTTGACTTTGAATTGTTTTTATTCTCCCAACTACTGCTGCGCTAGGTTGCTGCTGGTGAGGTAAGGGGCCCAGAGCATCTTCTCTATTTCTTTACTTTTAAACTGTGTCAGATGTGCATGTTTGGTACTACTTGGCTGTCAACTCACAGATTTCTTTCAAGTGCTACTTTCTTTTTAAAGAATTCTCATGTTAAATGTAAAGGAAATATAGGGGGAAATCTCATGGAACTGATGCTGATCTAAAAGAAAAGGGAAATTCATGAATTTTCAAGTCCTACCTCATTCCCAAGAACCCAGAAAACTCATTACGTAAAACTAAGTCTCCTTCCTCTCACGTCAGGGCTGGTTTTGTGCCCTAATCTTCTGCCGGGGGGTGGGGGGTGAGGGTGGGGGGGTACGAAATTTGAATCTCAGATCTTCGTCCCCTCTGTATATGGTTTGGCCTCCTCAGAAAGCCAACAGTGCACCCACGTTGTAGTAGAGAAGTACGTGTGGGGTTGTGGTCTTCCATCTGGTAGCTGGAGAGGTCAGTCAGTGGCTGTCTTCATTCAGCTAAAAAGGCTTACAGGGCACAAAGACTGTGGCAGCACAAACGAATTTCCCTATGTAACATTTTCCTTTTGCGTCATTGTTTGGATGGGGCTGAGAGAACGGGGTGGTGGCTTTTTACTTCGGGCCTCACCCTGCGCTTGGTGCTACTGCTCTCGAGCATGTTTATTCTGTGGCCTGCCTATGGGCCATTAGTCATGCTAAGGCACCAGGGAACGATTTTTCAGGAATTCTATATTCAAATTCTGTGTCCCTGGGCTAAAACCATGCTTCTGCGCTCCCCACCGCGAGAACAGAGCAAAGCCTTACTCGGTGCTTCTCCCGCGCTTGCTCACCGTTGTCCATGCCCCCTTTTGTGAGCACAGGCTTCTTCCAGTGTTTCACAGTCACCACAGGTCTTTCCTTTTTATTTTTTACCTCTCCTATGTTTCATGGAGGTTAACAAGTATTTAACAAAGCATCTTCCAAATAAGCCTTTGTTCTGCGTGAGATTTAGTGATGTGGATGACGCTCATTGTGTGGTGCAACTGTCGCCACCATTCTTTTCCAATTGCTTCCCCTTCCCTCTTGCCTTTGGTCCAAAAAAATTAAAACAAGCCAACTCATGCCATCGAGTCGATGCCTGCCGACTCACAGAGAGCCTAGAGGACAGGGTAGAACTGCCGGTGAGTTTCTGCGGCTGGCACAGGCATAGAAAGCCCTGTCTTGCTGCCGCAGAGAGGCTGGCTGGTGGTTTCGAGCTGTTGACCTTGGGGATATCAGCCCAAAGTGTAACCCACTAACAAACTTGGGGTCTTGGCACCTTTGCAAAGTACTTTGAGCTCATACAGTATGTGTCCTTTGAAGACTGAGTGAGTCCTTGAGAATGATTTCGCTGTGGACTTTGGACAAATGACCTTATTGAGGGTTTTCTTTCTAATCTTAGCTTGTTGAGTGCTTTTTGTCACATTTTGGCAAATGTCTTTGTCCATTGAGGCGAGCACGCGGTTCTTCTCCACAGTTCTGTTAAGCTGGTGTGTTCCACTGATTTCTCAAGTGTTGGACCATGCTTGCATTCTTGAGTTCTATATCCTGCTTGTTCATGACGGGTCCAATCCTGTTGCTATGCTTTGGGATTTGCTTTGTTAGTATTTTGTTCAGAATGTTTACGTTTCTGTTCATAAGAGATAATAATCGAAAGTTGAAGTTAAGGATTTAGAGTCACTTCTCTGAGGGGGCTTCAAGAAGTTCTTGGGAAAAATCCCATGTTTCCATGAACGTTTTGAAGGCCCCTTATATAAATGTTTAGGACCATTTGGTCCAGGACTTTACTTTTTGCCTCCTGTTTTTGATGGGGGGGGGGGTTGATTATTGAGTAGGTGTTAGGAGTTACTGGAGAACTCTTCCTTGAGTCCTGGTAGGAAGTTTCTATTTCGGTGTTGCTGGCCATTTGCTCTAGGTTCTCTAATTGATTGACGTGGACAGTTGATAGGGTTGGCTATCGTCCCCCACTTCCATCTTTAATTTTCTATATTTGTAGTTTCTCTGTCAGCCTAGCTAACATTTGTCATAAAGAAAATTGAGCATCTCTCAAATTCAAGCAGGGAGTCCAGTGTAGCTGAAAATACTTAGAGTGCTCATGATTTCATCTTGGAATGAGGTTCACAGTTTTCACAGTTCGGTTTCATGGAAGATGATTAAATGGCATTTGCAGTTTTCATGTGTTGACTTGTTGGTATTTCTGTTCTGATCCTTTCTTGGATTACTCATTTTTCTGCAGTCCTTATCAGCAGTACCCTTTTTGCATTCTAAGTAGTATGATTTCCACTGGGAGAGCCTGGAATTTGGGGAGTATTTTCCTCTTCCACTTGATTGGTTCCCATTATTAGGAACTTTCAATATTTTTCCCCAAAAAAAACTTTGAAGAGGAATACCTGAAAAGACAAATACCTTTTTTTAAAAATAATGGACTGGAACAGGTTAATCGCCATGGTCTCTGTCAAAGAGGAATCCCACTTAACAGAACCTTTGGGTGACTCTCCTGAGAATATGAATGATCAAGCTAGCTTTTCAGCTGTCCCCATGGTTAACAAATGAGGATGTGTCCGCCTCCTGAGAGGACCTTTTTGCTGCTTTAATCAATTCCTTTCACCATATTCCAGTGGTTCTTCTTCTTGTCTTGGAGATTCGTTTGAGATAGTGGAACAGGGAAGGGGGTGTGTGTCTCTTGGTGGGCTTCAGCCTCCCCAGGCTGCAGGCCTTTACCTGGTGGTGCCTGCCTGCCTGTATGCCTGTCTGTCTTCACAGACTGCTCTCATCTGTTGCCTGGCTAGTTTGGTCTCCTGTTTGAAGCTCTTCTAAGAAATGCAGTAGCTGTAATCATAACTGGAAATTTATTTCGCAATACAGTAAGGATTTTTAGCTGCACAAAGTCATTTAACTACCAAAAAATATGTCTATTCCATGATTGCCAAATGTAACTTGTCGTCTTCTGTCTCTCAGGTTTCCTTCTGCCTAAATGCCTACATTTTCTTCGTGCGTGATCTTACCTCACGTACCTGGAGCCAAGTATTTCTAGTACCTTCTATTTTCCCCGAGTGATCTTGCTGTCATTGCTATGGGCTTTTATCAGCAGGACTGCTAGGCAGACAGATGAAGTGGGCAGTGAGCTGCCAGCTCCTCAGCTTGCTGTTTTGCACACTCAGTGGATAAATCTTAACCCTTTTCACCAAGACCACACTGGTGGTGTGAACACATCAAAAAATACTTTTTCTAGGATCTGATGCATACAAGAGTTTCCAAAATTTGTGGGACAATTCTGTTGTATTTTCCTTCCATTTTTCCATGACCTTTAAAAAGTCCCTTTGCATTCTTCCACAAGGAGCCCTGGTGGTGCGATGGTTGTGTTGGGCTGCCTAACTGCAAGCTCGGCAGTTGGAAACCATGAACCGCTCCTCAGGAGAGGAGGCTCTCTCTTCCCATAAAGATTTAGTCTTGGAAACCCAGAGGGGCAGTTCTACCCTGCCCTATGTTGCTTAGGTGCCATCAGGTTGGCTCCGACCCATAGCGTCCCTCTACAACAGATCGAAACGCTGCCCGGTCCTATGCCAGCCTCACAATCGTTCCTATGTCTGAGCCCAGTGATGCAGCCACTGTGTCCGTCCATCTCCTTCAGGGCCTTGCTCTTTATCGCCGCCCTTCCACGTCACCAAACAGGTTGTCCTTCTCCAGGGACTGGTCTCTCCTGACAATATGTCCAAAGTCTGTAAGACGTAGTCCTACTACCCTTGCCTCTAAAGAGCACTCTGGCCTTACTTCTTCCAATACAGATCAGTTTGTCCTTTTAGCAGTCTATGGTACGTTCCATAAATATTCTTCTCCAGCACAATTCAAATGCATCAATGCTACGGTCTTCCATAGTCAATGTTCAACTTTCACATGCATATGATGCAAAAGAGAATACTATGACTTGGGTCAGGTGCACCTAAATCCTCAAAGAAACATCCTTGTTCTTCAATACTCTAAAAGGGTCTCATGCAGCAGGTTTGCCCCGTGTGATACATCTTTTGAACTCTTGACTGCTGCTTCCATGAGCATCGAGTAGAGGTCCAAGCAAGACAACTCCAACCTTTTCTCCATTTATCATGTTGTTACCTATGGGTCCGGTTGTGAGGATTTGGGTCCTCCTTAGATTGAGTTGTGATCCATACTGAAGGCTACAATCCTTGATTTTCATCAGCGAGTGCTTTAATTCCTCCTCACTTTCAGCAAGCACGGTTGTGTCATCGGCATATTGCAGGTTGTTAATAGCCCTTCCTCTAATCCTGATGCCATATTCTTCTTCATAAAATCTAGCTTCTAATTGACTCTGGAGCCACACATACAAGTTCAGAATGAGCACAATGAAGTGTTCTGGAATTCCTATTCTTAAAGTTATCCAGTTTATTATGATCCACACAGAGTAATGCCTTGGCATCGTCAATGAAACACAAATGTTTATATTTCTGTTATTCTCTGCTTTGAGTCAAGATCCATTTGACAGCAGCAGTGATATCCCTTGTTCCACGTCCTCTACTGAATTCAGCAGTTCCCTGTCAGTGATATACTGCTGCAACCATTGTTGATCTTCAGAAAATTTTTACTTGTGTGATATCAATGATATCGTTCCATCATTTGAGCCTTCTGTTGGGTCATCTTTCTTTGGAATGGGCACAAATAAGAATCTCTTCCAGTCAGTTGGCCAGGTAGCTGTCTTCCAAATTTCCTGATATAGACAAGGCTTCAAGTGCTTCTTAGGCTTTCTAAAACCTACAGTCATTGAGAGGTGGCATTAACTCAATAGCAGTGGGTCGTCCCCCACCCCCATATGCTTCAATGTCCATGGAGACATTAAGATAGTTTATCTATTTCTAGGTGTGAACATGTGTCCAAAGGATCCCAAATGTGTGAGGGAACCTGGATGGACTTCAGCCATCACATCGACTCCTTTGTTGTCAAAGCGACCAGTGGATGCCTTTGCCTCCTCTCTTTCGGCTTTTCCCCTCCATTGGCCAAATCCAAAGCCCTGCCCCCCCATGAGCAGCTTCTGTGGGTGGCAGGGAGCTCGCGGGCACATTGCTGACCCTTCACTGCAGCCTGGAAGTTGCTACTTGGTGCTGACCCTAACAAAGAAGCAATGGACACGTGGAATTCACTGAGTTGTCTGTTTGCTTTTTCTAGGCTAGCAGAGTGCTGGTGGCATCACGTAACTTCGCCAATGATGCTACATTTGAAATTAAGGTAAGAGCTGTGTCACTTGGCACTAATCATTTTTTTTCAGAGGCACCCGTGGTACCACTGGTCTGCCTGGCCCTCCTGGAATCGTTGGGAAGGTTGGCAGCAATCCCAATGGGCTGTTCTTACTGTCTGCTGCTCCCTAGGGGGAGAGCTAAAGAAAGTAAAGCACTTCCTCCAAGGTTTAGAATGAGAAACACGTTAGACGGTGTCTGTGGCAGCCTGGTATTCAACCCGCAATTCGGTGGAGGGGACCCACCACTTGGGCTGGAGCTGGGCTGTCTCGGGGTAAGCTGGCGGTGTTTGCTGGGTAATACACGGAGGGGGTTGTCCTCTCCTTTCAGAAATGCGATCTTCACCGGCTGGAAGAAGGGCCGCCCGAGACCACCGTGCTCACCCGGGAGGACGGGCTCCGCTACTACAGAATGATGCAGACAGTGCGCCGCATGGAGCTGAAGGCCGACCAGCTCTACAAGCAGAAGATCATCCGGGGCTTCTGCCACCTGTGCGATGGGCAGGTGTGTTAAAGCAGTGGTTAGAAAGCCAACGCCTACTTTTTCCTGTGCTGCTTGTTAGAATGTTACCATGTCACATAATGCTTTTCATTAGAATGTTACGATTTCTAAATGTTCTGGCATTGTGATTGTGCTGTGTGTGTTTGGGGAGAAAGGATAGGGTTTGGTTGGTTCTCAGGCTAAGGGTTACACATGCAGGTGTCTGTGGAGGCCAGAGAAACAGCTGATAGCTGTGGGAAGGAAAGGATGGCGGCCGGGGCCAGGTGGCAATGCTTGGCATTCTTCCTTCCGACCCAAGGTCTCTCCCAGTAGTTCAGTGTTGACAGCTGCTTGGAAAATCTTTCTCTGCACCCGGTTGTGAGGGAAATCAACATCCGTTTACTACCATTTCCATTCTGCTCCCCACTGTCATGACCCGAAGTGCTCCTAATATCTGATGGTCTACTCAGAAGCTTTTTTTATCTAGAATTGTTGTCTTGACTCCGTTTCTTCCTCTGATGCAGGAAGCGTGCTGTGTGGGGCTCGAGGCTGGTATTAATCCCACGGATCATCTTATCACTGCCTACCGGGCTCATGGCTTCACCTTTACCCGGGGGCTCACCGTCCGAGAGATTCTGGCAGAGCTAACAGGTTTGCTAGTGATTTACCAACGTTGGCTTTGAAGCAAATGACCCAGGCAGCAGCGCCTGTTAAGATGTTATGAGTTAAGGAAGCATGCTTCTTTTTCAGTCAACCATGTTATAGGACATGTGGCCCTTTCGGTCAATTGTTTTATAAGCTTAGTGGACAGAAAAAGTAAATTGGGTTAGGTTTGTGATTTGAAGTCTTAAGAATCTTTATAGTCCCATTTTGCTTACGACCCCCCCCCCACCCAATAATGAGTCCAGGTGCCATGCTCACAGTGAAGCAAAGTGTTGAGGACACAGGGGACCTCTACCTGGGTACATGGAAAGAGGAACTTGTTTGCAGAGAGCCATTTTTGTGTTTGTCTAGTGTGTCTGATGCGGTTGTTTTCTGCTATCTCTAGGACGGAGAGGAGGTTGTGCAAAGGGCAAAGGCGGCTCAATGCACATGTACGCCAAGAACTTTTATGGGGGCAATGGCATCGTCGGCGCCCAGGTAGCGTCTGCTGCCCGCAGATCATCCACAACAGGGAACGGTGGGAGCAGTGAAGAATTTCACTTTTGTTTAGGATTAATATTTGAACATAATACTTTATTCATGGGACTGCAGGAGGGGGTGGTGCACACAGCTGGAGGGTCCTTTCTTGGCTCTAGCCAGGAGTCCCCACCTTCTTTTCTTTTCCGTTGTGTCAGGTGCCCCTGGGAGCTGGAATCGCTCTGGCCTGCAAATACAACGGCAAAGATGAGGTCTGCCTGACTCTCTACGGGGATGGTGCTGCTAACCAGGTACTTCATTCTCTAGCTGCCAGGAGTTGGGCTTCTCGCTTGTTGAATGGCACACTCTAGCAATAGATTCCCTCATTTGTTGAAATAGGAAGCCACAGGTTACATTCTCACTGCTTTCAGGGTCAGATATTTGAAGCTTATAATATGGCGGCTTTGTGGAAATTACCCTGTATTTTCATCTGTGAAAATAACCGCTATGGAATGGGAACGTCTGTGGAGAGAGCCGCTGCCAGCACAGACTACTACAAGCGAGGCGACTTCATCCCGGGGCTCCGGGTAAGGCTGCTTCTCTGCCTGCGACAGAACTAAGAAGGGGGTTTAGCTTCGGGCTGGGGAATTTGAATGGTTTGGGTCTCCTCTGATTGAACAGGTAGATGGGATGGATATCCTGTGCGTCCGGGAAGCTACAAAGTTTGCAGCTGCTCACTGCAGGGCTGGAAAGGTAGGAGTGGGTTTTGGCCCATGGAGTTGAGCCCTGAAGCTTATCTGGGTGGGTGGGGACTGGGAAGGAAAAGGACTCCACGGTGGTGTTGACTTCTCCAAGCTTGGAAAGTTGAAGCCACTGGGGTCGTTCCTGTCACCCCCTCGCCTATAGTTTAAGTCAAAACCATGTTTCTTGGATTATATTGATCAATGGACTATGCGCAGGGCTGTTTCCCATCTGTCGACTCCATTGCAGGGGCCCATACTGATGGAGCTGCAGACCTACCGCTACCATGGCCACAGCATGAGCGATCCTGGAGTCAGGTATGGGGTGCGACATAAAGTATTTTCCTGCCACTCAATGTTGTAAAAAGTCTTCACACACAGTGGTCAGTTGAGTAACATATCCATTTGTTACCACAATGAGAAAGTACACTTTGGAAGTGGACACTGCTTTTGGGGGTCCTTAGACCCGTGCTGGGGTCTGTGGGGTTTTTCTAATGATGACGCCCTTTCCCTTGCTGCAGTTATCGTACCCGAGAAGAAATTCAGGAAGTCAGAAGCAAGAGTGACCCTATCATGCTTCTCACGGACAGGATGGTGAACAATGACCTTGCCAGCGTTGAAGAACTGAAGGTACGGGAACCTACCTTAGCCCTGACCAGTATCACGGGGCCCTGGCACTCGGCTCCAGTTTGGGTGAGTTATACCAACAGACTGTAGTGCTCAACCTGTCTGAATTTTAGGAGATCGATGTGGAAGTGAGAAAGGAAATTGAGGACGCAGCCCAGTTTGCTACAGCAGATCCGGAGCCACCACTGGAAGAACTAGGGTACCACATCTATTCCAGCGACCCACCCTTTGAAGTTCGTGGTGCAAATCAGTGGATCAAGTTCAAATCCATCAGTTAAAGGCAGCACGTAAATCTGACTAAACCCTTCCCTGGGAATAGTTACTTAACTTTAAGCCACAATTTATGTTTTGAGGAGGGGGAAAAAACTTTCATTAAGATCATACTATTAGATACATTAAAGGGATATTGTAATTAATACATTCTTGTAAACCTTTAGATTTGTAGGTCTGCAATAGGAACCCAGGTGCAAATGAAATATCAGCCATTCAAACCCACCACTCCCTTTCCGACAGATTGCTATCATTGAAACCCTTTGGGGTCCCCCAAGACCACAGTGAGAAGGTTAGTTGAATTATGGGGGAGGGGGGGTTTGTATTGATCTGTTGTTTTTTCTTCAAATGTTAGATCATTTTGAAATGTTAATGTGTATTCTAAAACAGATTCACTAGCTTTGTTACTTTTCCATTATACCTAATGAGGACTGACCTGGCTATGATCCCGCCTGCAGCTGGGGCTGGGAGGCAGCCTGGGCTCTGGTGTGGCAGACTGCAGTCCAGATCCGGCAGAGCAGCCCGCCACTAAAAAAACAGGACAGACACGTCTTGTTAGAAACCCTTCGTCTGAACAAAAAGATGATCGGAGCTCTGCACAGGCAGAAGAGACACTTGCTGCCTCATCAGAAAGAACCAAGGATTTGAATCTAGTCCCCTGGCAGCTTGTTCCTTTTGGCTCCCTTCAAGTCCACCGGGTAAGAGGTGCTGCTTACTGACAAAGCTGGAGGAAAGACCCCAGCGCTGTTTTCAAACCCCCTCCTACCCGGTGTTATTCTTTAAAAGCAAACCCAGAAGTAAACCGGTTGGGGGTGCTTTGTACCGGAGTTTCAGGCATCTTAGATCGTCCTTAGTGATATCATTCAGAATATCGGAGAGTGTATAGCCCTCTTCAGCAAACTGGAAAAAAATAAAATAAAACTCAAATATACAAGCGCTAAGCAGCTTTTTAAGCATATGAGTGGCTGAGCTGTAAGATGACCGTTATACCTTTTTAATCGTCTCACCATCCGCTCCTTGCAGTTTTAACCACTCCACCAGTTCTTGATCGGTTTTCTGCCTTGCAAACCCAATATGGCATATTGGGTTCTCGGCAAGCCCTGTAATGATTAAAGATGTGTTGTACGATTCTTAGCTGACAGTGCAACTTGTAATAAACTCCTCCAGAACCTAAGTGTGGGGATCTGAACTTGTCAGTCTTGTTTCTATGTCTACCTTATATGCTGCTGCTTCCTTTAAATGCCTTTTTGTTGAGAATTTGCTTCAGAGCTTACAAAACCCCTGCCTACTGCCAGCCAAGTGCCTGTGACTCACAGCAACCCTCTAGGACCCAGCTGAAAGGCTCCACTTTCCTGAGATGAAATCTCTGTGGGAGTAGCCAGCCTCTGACCACCACCCGGGACCTGGAGACAGAAGTTGCATCACTCCAGGCTCCTGTTCAGAGTTGGTCCCCTCCCTGAAACACCAGCCTTTCTGCTGATCTTCCTTTACTCTGAGAGCAAGCCCTGTCTGTGCGAATGGACTCTCACCGTTCAATTTGAACTGTAAGTGAAGGTGATCCAATTCTTGAGTTTTCTGGTGAAGAGTTTGCCGCAGGAGACTCTGGTACTCTTGCTCCCTCTGAATAAGATGTTCCAGAAGTCTGGTTCAACAGAAACCATGCACACCTTGGTTGGAGATTGAAAACCGGGCCCAAGCAAAGGACACAAAAGTGGTGGTGCCTAGAGGTCTGGCTCTGAGCTCAAGTGAAGGGATGGCCGCCGACAGCCAGCGTGGTTCAGCCTTGGCCCGGGCTGTGGTCTGACTGAGCCTTTGGATTGCCGAAATAATCTGGGATGACCCATCAGAGAGCCTTGAGCTGTAGACAACCTCCCCCCACCCACACCCCCAACCTGTATCCCAGGCACCTTAATGGGGGCCACTGCTTTCATGTAGCCAAGACCCTGGGAGCACCTACTGTGTGCCAGAGCATGGAGGACACCTAGGGAACCGGTGGCCGTGTCAGCCCGTACCGTGTCGTCTCCTGGTGGAGCTTGCCCAGCTTCACAGTGAGGCGCTGGTGGGGCTGCAACTCCTGGAAGGCTGCTGAGCTGGGGCTGCTGCCGGCGTAGTGAGCAGCCCCGCTGCCTCCGAGTGGCTCCTCCAGGGGGTGGTCCTCATCCATCTCTGCATCCTTATGGGCCCCGTCCACAGCACAGGCAGGGTCGAAGTGTGCCCATAGCTCTGAAAGCACCAAAGAAGAAATGACCACGGTCCCAAAGGGTACAAAATGTTCCTGAGCGCACCTCGGGAGAAAGGCCTGGTTGTCTACTTCGGAGAAAACCAGCCACTGACACTCTGGAATGCCATTCGACTCTGACATAGGGGGCACGGGGGCTGACTGAGCTGGTTATTATCAGAAAAGCATTTGAACAAGGCCAGGGCGTTGACATCCCATCCCAGGCAACCCAGCTGGCCTGACCCAAGGCAACTAACAGGACACCACATAATCCCTGCGTGGGGCTTCTCTGCAGTGTAAATATGATAGCGCTTTCCCGACTCCACCTGCTACCCAGGCACAGAGAGGGACCTGTCTGGTGTGCGGAAATAATGCCACCTCCGGGTCAGCCAACCTTTCCTGTAGCTGGGTTACGGCACGGCCACGGGATCAGAGTACAAAGAGGAAGTGGCTGTGTCAACAAAGCAGGTCTAACGGCCCCCTCTGTGACAAAAAGTCACCAGACAAGGAGAATCAATTTGATATTACACTGCTCCCACATTTCCAAACAAAAGACAAGGGTTTCTACAACTTTGCCCATATGAAGCCTTGGCCCAGCACCCACAGTGATGAAGTGGGAGGGGTGATGTGGGGAGGGGGCGAGCAGTAGGAGCCTCACCTGTAAGCTTGACACTTCCCTTAGAGACGAGCTTGAAGTCAGTTGTGGGGGTGACTGAGGGAGCCACAGATGGAGCCAGAGACTCAGAACACAGAGTCTTGGCTCCAGGCAGGCTCTGTGACCAGGCTGGAAGTGCTTGGACAAGATGGAACCGGGAGAACCACGGGGACCTGCTCCCCACTTGGGACCGGCTGGCACTGAAGCAGCCCTTACCCGGAGTGAGCGTGGTGACTGCGGCCTGCACAGCTCGGCGGAGGATGCTGTCCATCGCAAACATCCAGTGGGGCCTAAGTACGTGGTTCCTCAAAATTTTATGTACCTGAAAATCGCAAAAACGCCCTTCTGTGGGAGTGTACGAACCAGTCCTTGGCAATTTAACTTTGCCTTTCAACTCTGTCCGAGATGAGGGGTCCACCATGCCCACCCAGGTTTTCTGACCCCCTGGTTTGCTTTGGGATCAAGGCTTCCTCTAAGCTGGCCTCAACTCCTGGTGGCTAGGTGGGTGCAGTGATTGGAGCAACCAGCACTTACTGAGCATTTATGAAGTGCAGGGAGCTTGGGGTGCCAAGCATGAACAAGCCATGGTTTCGAATTCAACTCACTGCCATTAAGTCGATGGCAACTCACAATGACCCTATAGGACAGGGGAGAACTGCCCCCGTGGGTTTCCGGGACTGGAACTCTTTATGGGAGTAGAAAGCCTGGTCCTTCCCCTTCAGAGGGGCTGGTGGTTTCAAACTGCTCACCTTTTGAATGGCAGCCCAGCACGTAACCACCACTCCACCAGCAGCTGACACATACACTTGAAACCCCACATCCTCAACTCAAGCTCTTGGCGTACAGAATCTAAGACGGTGCTTCCCAGACTCGCACACGTGTTCAGCGGGCACGGCAGAAATGTGGGACTTCACGGTAAAATAGGTGAGATGTGATGGGGACCATGGGTGGGATGGTCATCAGATCCTAGGGTCTTGGCTCTGAGCTATTTCAGTGGGCTCCCTGCCTTCGGGCATGTTTCTCCAGGGTCAAAGGGAGGACTTACAGCATCCTGAAATCCAAACAGTACCAGCTGAATCTGGTTGATGGAGGAGTTGTCAAAATCCAGGCCCATTTTCAGCTTTGCTATCCTTGAGGCCATCACCCTGTGCTCCGGGGAGCGTATGAAGTCACGCAAGATCCCGATGATCAGCAGGAGGTGGTCCACAGAGAGGGGCAAGCCTTCTGAACTCTGATGCCCCCGCGCCCAAAGAAAGAGAAGAGTCGGATTAAGTCAGATAGGAGCAGAGAAACGTCAAGAAGTGTTGAAGGAACCAAACACCACACCCATTGCCACCGAGTAGCTGGTGACTCTGACCCTGCAGACACAGCACTGACTCTTAGGGTTTCCAAGGAAATAGACGCCTCCTCTTTCTCCCAGTGGAGCGGCTGGTGGGCTCACACCACCGACCTATCAGCAGCCAAGCGCTGAAACCACTGCACCATACTGAGGGGAACCCCAAGTGAAATGCATGGCCTTCAAGTCGACGCCAACTCATAGCCTCATAACAGATGGGGGCAGCTGGCGGGTTTCAGTCGCCCACCTTCAGCATTAGCAGCCCCGTGCTTCACCCCCAGCAGCAGCAGGGCTCCCCCTCTATTGAGAGAAGCTAGGTGACAGCTTGAGCAAATAATCTGAGAAGCTGGATTCTATGGAGAAGAAATGCAGATGATGCAACCTGGCTTGCTGCAAGTGAGGAGGCCTGGAAGCGCTTGCTGACGAAGATCAAGGCTGGCAGCCTCCAGTCTGGACTCTACGACCCAATGTCAACAAGACCCAGATGTGTACCACTGGACCAGTAGGGAATAGGATGATCAGTGGAGACAAGGTTCGCGTTCTCATGGATTTCGTCTGGCTTGGATCCACAATCGATCCAGAAGCAGCAGTCAAGAGAACAAGCGACGAGGCATTGCCTGGGGTAAGTCTGCTGCACAACCCTCCTTTAAAGTCGTGAGAAGCAAGCAAGGATAAGACTTAGAGGACTAAGGTGTGCATGACCCAAGCCATGGGATTTTCAATTCTCTCTTCGGCATGTGAAAGGCGGACACTGAAGAAGGGAAACTGAGGAACAATTGATGCGTTCGAATGACGGTGTTGGCGAAGATTGAAAGTACCATGGAGAGCCAGAGGAACACACAACTCCGTCTTGGAAGAAGTACAGCCAGAGTGCCCCTGAGAGAAAAGGAAAGGGAGACTTCATCCCCGTTATTTTGAAGATGGTGCCAGGAGAGACCAGTCCCTGGAGAAGGACCTCATGCTTCGGAAAGCAGAGGGACAGCGGAAAGGAGGAAGGCCCTTAAGGAGATGGATGGACACTGTGGCTGCTCTAACATAAGAACCGTGGGGAGGAGGGCACTGGATGGCGCTTTGTTCTGTTGTGCATCCGACCACGTGATGACTATGCAATTAATGGGATTGTGGGATCCCCAGCGCTTTCCTGTCTAGAGGTGCCATTGGGCCCCTGCTCTGCTCTGGTGGGTGCACGCTCACAACTGAGCCTGAGGGTGACTGGGTGGTGTCAGAACGCTGGTTCGTGTCAGAAGCTACTCTCCATGGTTCCCAGGGCCAGTGGCCTCCTCAGAAGTGAGGGGGGGGGCAGTTAGTTTGCCACTACTGCCACTTATCTGCCACAGACATGCTTGTCTCAGCTTCTGAGGCGGCTTTAGTGTCCTGGGAAGTTGGGGGATTCACTGCAGGCCCACCAGGCTGACTGCCTCCAAAGCAGACACAGGGCTCCTTAGGGTTTGTGTTCTCTTCTCTAGGTGTCTCCACCCCCCTCCCCGCACACACACACACACACACACACACAAGGGAAAGAGGAAGTTGGGAAATACTTATGGTGGGTGACTGTAACCAGGTGAATGTTTCCTGGTAATGGGGGTGGCAGTGGCGGGGCCAGCCTTGGCAGAGCTCCCCGGGTCTGTACCTGGGCCACACACTCCTGCAGGTTGGCAGCCAACTGGCTCTGCTCCTCCCACAGGATTTTGTACAGGATGGCCCGGCGCTCGCTGTCCTTGCGCAGCAGGAAGAGGCCCGGGTCCCTGTCCTCCGGGGACAACAGGGTGCTGTCATCCGGGACACTGTGGGCAGACACCACATGGCCATGTCTGCAGTCCCCACGGCCCCTCAGGGAGGGTAGGTACCAAGAGAACAGGCTCCCCACCCCATGCAGGGTATCCCCAATGTAGTCCTAGGGTGGGGGAGGGGGCAGGGAGGTAAGGCAGGAGGATGAGAGGGGACAAGGAGAGTGGAGAAAATCAGGGGAAGTGGGAAGGAAGAAAAGGAGGGGGCAGAGGGAGAGAGAACGAGATTAGGCGGGTACAGCAGGGAGACTAAAGGGGGAGGGGGAGAGGTGGCTAGGAACAAGTAGAAGGGGGTTAGCAGGTGAGGGGTCACTTGCTGATGGAAGCCCCTGGCTGCCCCCAGGATGGGCCTTGCAGGGGTTTCGCCCCTGTAGCACAGGGGTGCCCTGACATGTCCCCAGCCCAGGGACCCAGGCCCTACTTGAGGAGGTGACTGAGGTGGTGCCTGGGTAGCCCCTCAGAGGCCAGGGCCCGACCCTTCTCAAAGAAAGCATCAGGCTGGGCGTCGGAGTCAGGGGATATCGAGCTGTGTTCACTGCTGCTGCCACCGCCGCCCCCTGCCAGCTCCCCCAGGGTGGGCAGGGTCAGGGTGTCGGCCCGGATCCCATCTGCACAGAGGAGCAGGAGAGGGGAGAAGTGAGCCCCAGGGAGCTTGCACCCAGCAATAGAGCGAGCGGTGAAAACAATGCCTTCCTATCCCAGTGGCAGGGCCTGAGACTCTACAGTCCACACCCACCCACAGGGGAGAGGCCAGTTAGTAGGAGAACCTCCCTCTGGGGAACAAGACACTGAGCCCTTCTTGTCATGGCCTCTGGCCCAGGAAAATGACCTTTTCAGGAATCTCGCATATGTTCCTGCTATCAGGATTTCAGCCCTGGAAGGGGTCACTTGGGCTTTGATCTACAGGACAGCCACCACAGGCAGGAGCCCTGGCAAAGGCCCCTGGGCCAGACTCCCACAGTACATTGGGGCGCTACCCAAGAAAACAATGCCACCCATGTTAAGACAAGACTGTGACAAGGGGGCCGGGCCTCACAGTTCTGCCAACAATTCAGACAGATGTGTTGGCTGGGCTTGGACAAGCCCCAAAGTTGTCAGCTGGCCCTGGGTCTGAGCCCAGTTGTCCCGGGAGACCTCACCTGCGGGCTTGAAAGCAATCCGGTTCTTCTTGCACTTGCTCGGCTGCCTTAAGAAACCTTCTCTGAGCAGGTTGGCAGCCGTGACCCGCTTGTGGGGATCAGGCTCAAAGCAGGCTAAGATGAAGGCTCTGGCTTCGGCTGAAAGGGCTTCTGGAATCTCTGGGTGGATCTTAAACATCCCCACCTGTATTTGAGGGAGAAGGAGGCCGTATGTGTTAGAGGCCACCAGTAAATCCAGGTGTCGATTCTGGGCATAGAGGTCTATTGCCATCCGGTGCAGGTGAAAGAATGGGTCCTCGTTCTGACCAATTGAGTGTGGTAGAAGTCACAGTGTATCAGAGGCTCAGGCAAAAGAGCCCCGCCTGAGCTTCCGGTCAGGTCCTCTTGAGATGCACAGACCACCATGCAATGAGGAAGCCCAGGACGGAAGACCAGCTTTGTGGGAAAAGCTGGGCCAGGAGAGACCAGTGGAAGACCCAACCAGTCCAACCACAATCATTGTTTGAAGCCCCACCCCCAGTTGGTTTGTTGCACAACAGCTGATAGTTTAGATGGAGGGGATGCAGAGGCAGAGCTCCTCTGTTGCCTAGGATAGGACCACTCAAAAGAACCGAAATGCACTGTCTCCGCCTCTTGGATTCCTTCCTTGGTGGCCCTGGCTTGCAGATCAGCCTCACACAGCATCTGTCCCCTCTCTGTGTCACTCCCTTCTGTGTGTGTGTCTCTGTGCTTGTCTACTCTGCTCTGTTTATAACTCAGAAGTCATTAGACTTGAGTATGATCTAATGGACATAACCGAAAGATTCCCTCTTTCACATCAAAATTACCATATATACTCGAGTATAAGCCAACCCGAATATCAGCCGAGGCACCTAATTTTATCACAAAAACTGCCTTAAAAACATGGGCTGAAAAACTCAGCTTATACACATGTATATATGGTACATCTACCAGTGTAGGGTGCTTAGGGTTCCACCACAGGCTGTGCAGGGGTGGGGATGGAGGGAGGGCACTATTCAATCCATAACGGGGTCCCTGCTAGAAGCCTTACCTCAGTTCTTTCTTTCTGGCCCATAAGTGAACCATGCCCTCTTCACCCCATCCCCCAAGGGTTGCGGGGGACCAAGTGCTGTCCCATTTCACTGTGGTGATGTGGGAATGCTTCGATGAAAAGTCCTACTCTTGTATTACAGGCCCCATTAGGGACATCTCTCTCTTCACTTTAGGATTGGTGCTTTACAGGTTGCCATCGATGCCCCTCCCTCCTTCCCGGCTCCTTCCCTAGTCTCCAGCTGGTGTGGCTTCTTGTGGCCCCAGCAAGAGGAAGCTGGGTGCTCTGAGAACCCAGGGCATGCCATCTGCCTAATTAGAAGCTTCTCGTCTTCATGGTGCTATGGTTGCAATCAATGACATGAAACAAGGCATACTGTACAGGGATTATTGAATGAGACGCTTGCTCTGTTCACCTTCAGCCCAAACTCTCGAGGTTCAATAACAGTAACAAACCCCACGTAGCACGCCACCACCAAAAAGGTCTGTTGGCACGCGAACCCCTGGTAACCTGTGAATGTGACTTTTCTTGAAAGTAGGGCCTTGGAAGAGCTTCTGGATTCACATGAGGTCATTCTAGTCCCATCCGTCTCCAAAGAGAAAAGACACACTGCGTGGAGAGAGAGGTGGATAGTGGCTGATGATGCCACAACCAAGGCCTGCAAGGGGGAGGGGGAGGCTCCAGAGCCTTCGGAGAGAGCCTGACCCCAGAGACTCCCTGCCTTTGGACTTCTAGCTTCCGGCACAGGGAGACAATTCAGTTCTGCCATCGGAATGTGAACCAAGCCAGAGCCTACTGAGTTTCCAAGATCACACGGGGCAGCATCAGGGTGGTGTGGCCACAGATGCGACAACTCGTTTCTGCTATTGTACGCACTTCACTTTGTGGTCTTCTGTTAGAGCAGGAAGATTCCAGCAGATTGGGGAAACACACAGGTGTGCCCCCAAAGGTTTCCCGAAGCCCCAGGTACTATTCACTCTCAGGCCTCAGATGGAAGGTGCTGGTGAGAATGGACTTGGCCCCGGGGAGAGGGGGTGAGGTCATTGCCACCGTCCAACCCTGGTGGTCAGCTTCATGTTGGGATTAGAGTTGCTATGACCCTTGTTGTCTTGAGGTCTTGACCCTTAGAGCTGCCTGGGCAACTGAAGGGAGGGTGGGAAAGTCGAGAACAGCAATGGAGACGGGCCCTTCCTGTGGGCTGACCATTGCCCCCCCCCTCCACTTTCACTCATTCCTGTGGGTTCTGGCAAAGATGCAGGCAGCGAGGCTGTCAGGCAGGAACATATTGGCAGAGAAGCCTCTGGGATCATCCTATCATTGCTTTGTTACATTGCATCCTCATTGTCCACACACAGTAGCCAATTTGACCACCTCATACATTTGCTTCTCAGGGCTGTCCTGCCCTCAGCTTCCCACCGGGACTTAAGCAAGCAAGTCCCTTCCTAAGGTCTTAGATTTCCATTTATAACCCCCTTCGTGTCCCCCACCACCACCACCACATTGGTCAATAACAGTAACAACATACTGACCACACATGGATCACCCAGCTAACTTGGATTTTCAGAATCATGAGGGATCTAGTCTCCCACCCCACCCCTCCAGTCCAAGCTTCCGGAAACCCGTCCTTACACTATGCTGTCACCATATGGACGCGGCACCTTGTCCAGGAACCCAGAAGCTCCAAGAGCTCTTACCTTGAACATGGCTGCCTGCGGGTCGCCAAGCTCATGGAATGGGGGCTTGCTAGTTGCCATCTCGATGATGGTGCAGCCCAGGGACCAGATATCAGCCGGGGCACCGTACCCGCGAGGTCCTTGATCGATAATCTCGGGTGCCATGTACTGCAGCGTGCCTATTTGGGGAGCAAAACACAAAGGCGGTGACTACTGGATTGCGGCAAACCGGAAGCAGACCGCTAGTAACTGAGTGTCAGCGTGAGCTCCCTGACTCACGAGGGGTGGGGGCTTGTCCCAGGCATCCATCCGACATCTTTTCCTCGACAGGAGACATACAACGGGCTCAACTCCACTGCCGAAGCCTGCAGGGGAGCCTGCCAGGTACTGGGTGACCCAAATGGGAGAGACGTAGTGCCTGCCTTCAGGGGGCTGCTCAGTGAGGGAACATCATGGAGGGGTGGTGGCAGGCACCAGCAGTGACGGCAGCACATGTTCTATGCTCTAACAGAGGAGTACAAGATGGTTTCAGGAGCATGCGTGATAAAAAAACATTCGATTCTCAAGTTGGGGGGGGTGGTAAATGCTAAGGCACAGTCATGTATCACTTAACGTCCATAAAAACCAACAACCAACCAATCAACCTAAGCTCACTGCCATCAAATCATTTCTGAACTCCTGGCAACCCCGCAGGACAGGGCAGAACTTCCTCTGTGGGTTTCCCAGACTGCAACTTTTTACGGGCGTGGCAAGTCTCACCTTCCCCCCCACGGAGTGGCGGGCGGTTTCAAACTGCTGACCTTGTGGTTAGCAGCCCAATGTGCATAACCACGATATGTTCTGTGAAATAGGTGGGAGACTGGATCCCTCATGTGATTCAAATGCTGGGGAGACACCATCTCTTAGCCACACCTGCTTCCTTCCATATCTCAAACAAGTGCCTTAGCTGTTGATTGTTACCATGATGGGAGGGACCTTGCTTTGTGCTTTGTCCTCATTCCTGTCATTAGCAATGTCTCCCTATCTACAACGGGTCCCCTCACCCCCTTGTACTGGTTAGCTTTGAAGCTTGCCATGAGGCGACTCCTTCAATAGCTTCACGCTTTCCCAGTTTTTGAGGATTGCCATGATTGTCAAGTGCAGCATGTGCCACTTTTTTTTAATGGTTTTATTAGGGGCTCATACAACTCTTACCACAATCCATACATACATCAATTGTGTAAAGCACATTTGTACATTCATTGCCCTCATCATTCCTAAAATATTTGCCCTCCACTTAAGCTCCTGGCATCAGCTCATTTCCCCCCCTCCCCCCTCTGTAATCAACCCTTCATAATTTATAAATTATTGTCTTATCTTACACCATCCAGTGTCTCCCTTCACCTACTTTTCTGTTGGCCATCCCCCCAGGGAGGAAGTTATATGTAGATCCTTATAATCGGTTCCCCCTCTCTACCCCACCCTCTCTCTACCCTCTCGGTATCACCTCTCTCACCACTGG